TAAGCACGTATTCTAATTGCCTACTATTGAGAAGTCACACAATAGTTCCTTATTTTGCATGTCAATTCAAGAGGAAATAAAAAGCCAGGTTAAATCCAATTTAGGTGAGGTTAAGCACAGTGGGTCTAAACACACTTACAGAGCTGGCCACTGACCCCTCCTGTGTCTGCTATTGTAATGCTAACAACAGCTCAACAAAAGGACCCAGGGACAAGAAGGAGGATTACCTGTCCCTCCTGTCCCTACTAAATCTAAGAAGGAGGTCCTCCCCCAAAACATGCAATGGAAGACACATACCACACACTAGGTCTCAAAGTATTAGGCAACTCTAGGGAATTGGCATTCTTCCATTCAAGGAAGAAAGGGGAGAAAAGCTTTATTACTAAAGTATATGCTGGAACAACACTATAGCAAGCTATACAACCACACCATCAGTTGTAGTTGATGCTGAATCAGCATCTGTGTGTGTCAGGTGTACAACTGTGCTCTGAAGTTTTCCAATGGTTAATTTTTCATAAGTAGATACCATTGTTAAAGGCTGTGATACCCCGTAGAATGAATACCAAAATGATGTAATGATTTCTGACCATGGAGAGGTGGACTGACATCAGCATGTTGCAAAGATGTTCATAAGAAACAAAGGTCAAGGCTGAAAGTTGGGAGAATGAATAGAAATAAAGACGTTAACCTAGGGTGGCGATGTGAGGTAAAGGAAGTCTAGGCTCACTGATCTGGGCACAGGAACAGCTGACCTCAGAAAATAAGGTGATGCTAACTGGAGAGACAAGGCTGTCAAGCCACTCTTGTGGAAAGAACAGATTAAAGGCGATATATGATTGAGTATTATGGTTAGCACAGGAATCCAGAATTAAGGTTGCACAGAGAAGTATACTCGGGGCAGGGGCTGGGGGGAAGGGATGGGGGAATTGTATACCAATGAAGGAATTTTTTTTCTTTTCGGAGAGGGGAGCGAACTGGTGGGGAGGGGTGGGCAGGGAGAAAAATACAGCAATGAATGAACGGAAATCCAAAACCTCTGTAAATGTTTATTAAAATTAATAATAAAAAAAAAAAAGAAAAGAAAGCAAGTTTCCAAAAGTTCAAAGTGTTAGTCAATTCACTTACTTGGTAACAGCCAATACACTTAAAGTAGCTCTGTCAGGCAGCCCGAAGCCCCATGGAATGCCTCTGAACTAGATTAAACCCCTAGACTAGTAATTAACTTTATAGGGGAGAGGTCTCTTGCTCCAACTTGAGCAATCCTGCTCATTTCAGGAAAGCCATTTTCATGCAAAAGTGGAAACAAGAAACTTCTGAGCCTCAAGTTCAGCTCAGATACCGCTGTTGGCAGCCTCTACTTACCTCACTACAAAATCAGAATACTAATTACTTCCAAGCAGTGTTAAAGGGATTAAGATGAAAAAATACTCTAAAGATGAAAAGCACTAAGCCTCAGTCTCATATCATTTGCAGGTAGTTTAACAGTCTCTCTGTATCAGCAAACAAGTTTTTGAACATTTTATCCATCTAGACATTTCGGTAACAGTCATTGCAATAGTTCCTAAGTGCTTCTTATCAGACAACTAGAGCTTGGCATCTTGTCAAAAACGACATGCTGCTACATCATGCTATAGACGGCAAGTGACTAAAAACTTAGGAAAGAAGATTCTTCTTCAAGCTGATCAATCCTAAATCCTTTTTATGCCTTATCACTGGGTAAAATATAAATTGGCAAATGAAACAGCTATACACTTTATTATATTGCGCAATCACCGACTGAACATTTTAAATGCCACTGTACTAATCAGCAGGTTTATTTGTAAAAACTACCTATGCTTAAATATAAAACAAGCTCTTCGTTGCTCAAAATCGACCCTGAAAAGAATGTGTCTCGTTATGGTCGGTCTTACGAAGTCTCAGCCCAGATCACTCTCCCAGTTACTTGACTTTTAGGATGGTAACCTCAGATGGTAATTCAAGAGCCAGTCAAACTGAAGGGAGCCCCAACCACATAGACAAAGTCCAGGCTCACGCGCTGTAAGTCTACACCTTGAGAATCAATAGTCCAGGTTAGGGTAGGCAGATAAGCCTAAAACATCCTCAAATCCATATTAACTCCAGATGTTCAGAGCGATCACCTCAATGGTGAACTGTTTCATGAGGGTGAGCTGGGAAGAGGTGGGGAAATGTAACAGTCCTGAAGTCCTGTCTATAGGATTGAGTGACTACAGAGAATTGCACATGAAGTCCAAAAGTCTTCATATTGCATAACCTGGGACATGCAGGTGATGCACTTTACAAAGCACATTACCGGATCATACAGAAAAGGGTTCAAATGGTAATATGGTGATCAAAAAGCTATATGAAGTAGTTTTCTCCTTTATATTCTTTTGAGTATAAAACTTTAAAAAAAAATCTTATCATTTGAAAAATGGCGAACTGAACTTTTTGTTTGATACCATGGCTAGTAAGTGCTGGCAAGCCTGTTCTAAGGCATAGTCCTATGAACAACAGCACAAAACAAGGCCTGGTCCTGTACCATCCTCACCATCACAGACACTTCTGAGTTCACACCTGTGATCCTTATATTAATTCCCTCCATGAAAGGCTTTCTTTATATTACTCTCTACTTCACCAATCCTGATATCCTTTTCCAGAGATTGGTCCCTCTCAGGATATGTCCAGAACACGTGACATGAAGATCTGCCCTGCTTGCTTCCTTATTCATTGTACAACTTCATCATACATTTAAAAAAAAAAAAAAGCAAAACCAAACTAAATTCATTGCCCATCAACTCAAAGAGAGCCTATAGAACAGAGAAGAACTGTCCCAGTAGACTTCAGAGGCTGCATATCATAATAGGCGCAGACATTCTCCCCCTCTGCCCATGGATAGGGTGGGGGTTCAAACTGCCAACCTCTTGGTTATCAGCATGTATATCAACTGATCATAAAATACTGTGGCTTGGGTCAGGGGGACCTCAGTTCTCAAGGTGGCATCTTTGATTTTTAACACTTTGAAGAACTCTTGTGGCATATTTGCATAATATAATAAATGCATCATTTGATTTCTTCATTGCTTGCTTCCATGGACACTGACTCTGGATATAAAGAAAATTACAGTCTTGACAAATTTACTCTTTTCTCCATTTGGCTAGATGCTGTGTATTGGTCCACTTGTGAGGAGGTTTGCTTTTCTTCTTCATGCTGGGGTATAATCCACAGTGAAGGCTGCAGCTTTTATTTTTGTCAGTAAGTGCTTCATATCCTTTTTCCTTGAAGCAAGTTTGTCATCTGTATCTTGTAGATTGCTAACAGGTCATCCTTCTATCCCAATGCTACATTTTTTTTTATGGAGTCCAGCTTCTCGGATTAGTTGCTCAGCATACATATTAAATAAATGTTCCCCTTTTCTACTCCAACCACTGCTGCTTAGTCTATGCATAGGTTCTGTGTGAGTACAATTAAGTGTTCGGGAATTCATATACTTCACAATGTTATCTGCTCTTTGTTATTTAATTGTGATCCACACAATTGAGAGCCTTTGCACAACCATAAAACATAGGTAAATGTCTTTCTGGCACTGTCTGTTTTCAGCCAAGGTCCATTTGACATCAGAAATTAATAGTCTTCTTCACTTTCTGGTAGTTTTGTTGGTGTACTGCTGGCAAACTTTTACTTGCATGTGATGTTAATTATATTGCTTGAGAATTTCCACATTCTGCTAGAGTACCTTTCTCTGGAATGGGTAAAATATGGAACTGTTGGAGTTAATTCTCCTGGTAGCTGTCTTCCAAGCTGTTCATCATAGACAAGTGAGTATGTCCAGAGTTGCCTCTGTTGTTGAAACATCTTATTTAATATTCCCTCAATGTCTAGAATCGTGCTTTTCCAATGCCTTCAATGCATCTGGGACTTTTCTCTTCAATAGCTTGGGTTCCTGATCATGTGTTAACTCTTGACCTGTGGAATGGACATCAATCCTTTGTGGTACAGTAACTGTGTATTCCTTATATCTTCTTTTGATACTTCCTGTTTCATTCTATATTTGCCCATAGTAGGCGACAATTACTCCCAAGAATGAGAGGGGAATGGTGTGTCTTTTGGAACTGGGATCTAGTGCTGAAAATCTTCTTGACCTAGGAAACAAAGACTGCTTCAACATCAGAGATGGCATAGGGTGGTGAGAAACAGATTAGAGAAACAGTGGCAGGAGAACCTAGAGGCCAGTGAAAGGAGGAATAGTAACTTTTCCAGCCCGTGGAGTAAAGCAGTTGCAAGGGTATATGGGTCCAAAGAGTGAGAAAACAGGAGGCTTGCTAGGAGAGTGGATTGCCTCCAGGCACTTGCGAGCAGAGCTAGGCTTGGTTGAAGCTTATGGTTGAAGTAAGATGCCTTGGCACTTACAGTAAAACTTAGAACGCTTGTAACACTTTCCTGAGGACTGCAGAGGGAGGGAATCAAGGTGCCAAGGAGAGGTCTGCTCTGGACACAGATGAGAAGTTGTCCAGACTGAAGAACTGATTCATGTTCTTTCTGATCCTGATATATAAGCCATTACATCTATATCTGACATCTACCTCTTAGGAATTAGACTTGGTTGGGAAGAGGTGGTCAGATGTCTCTGCCAAATCATTCTTATAATTGGTAGAAGAGGTAAGAATGTGACTCCCCAGCCACTCTGGTTTGCTGAAGCCTTACCGACTTAGCCACCAGAATTCTCTATAATGTGACATTTATGTAACTATTTCTAGAGTCTTCCAACACAAAGTTTTGGTACATCTATAGTAGACACCTTGGATTTATGTATGTATAAGGGTAGTTTACAACAAATGGCAGGCAAGGGCACCTATTTCTAACTGGCATGAAGGTCGCTGTGGAGTGCCAGCAGTGTGGCCTCTGTGGAACATCTCCAGGTGTGGAAAAGTAAGAACTCAATGAACAGTTCCTAGTTTAAGAGTTGAGAATGTGACCAAGACTATGACTCAAAGAATAATTACCTTGTAGATTCCAAAGAAGCCCAAGTCCCGCAGGACAGACAGAGCACTGACTCGAGGACCGGTAGTGATTTCTCCAGCCACCTGCAGACGGATTTTGACAATTTCTAAAGGATTGGTGAAAATCACCTGGGAGCCTCCAGCCTGCAAAACAGAAAACAAGAAATAAGCATTGAGCATCAAAGAGTCTGAAGGAGCAATAAGTGCTGGTTAATGGTAAGGAGAGTCAGCAAGAGATGTGAGGGATTATTTTCAATAATTCTGTCCTTAGGAGACTATAGTTTTGTTCCATGTCCCATCATTTAAAGGGGCAATTCTGAGTTTGAATCACACTACTGTCTTGGACACTTTGGGGAAAGAGGGCTATCTCCTTAGCTTGAAAGCTGAAAGAAGCAAAAACCAGAGACACCAGGCACCAGAAGCAACTGCTACAAAAGGACTCAAGGTCATTGCCACAAACGTTTAATAACATGAAAAAAATAGTGTCCAAATAAAGAGATCCAGATCTCCCCCCTCCCATGAGGAATGAGACAAGAAGGATCTAGATTCTCACATGATGGCCTCCTCTCTGGCAGTGACTGAAAAATTGTCAGAGAACATGTAAACTTAGTTGAAAGCAATTTTTCTTCTCTTGAAACATCAGGTCAATCATCAAATATAATTTTATGGAGTTACATATTCTTAGAATTTTATTTACATATTATCTGTGTATAGAATTGCTCTTCTCATATAAGATAAAAGGTATAGTAGAGTAGTAAAAATATGCATTAAATCAATTATGGCCCAAACTTTGAACAACTTGTGTTATTTCATTCCAGCAATGGCTGGGTGCCACTTCTTGGAGATCATCGGTGGAAATCTTTAAAGTGCACTATAAGGGAAATTTTAAGCTTGCTATTTTGAAGCTAAGCCTTTATTTATGATAAGCAATTAAATTCTTTCTTACTGTACTTCAACTTGTTATTCCTTGTCATAAATTTAAGAAATTTTTGTGTTAAAACTAAGGCTACCATGCAATGCAGTATAGTTCAGACTACCTATGGTGTGATAATGCCACTAAAGCTAGTATATAGACATATTTACAGCTTAGTATATGCCCTCATAGAAAAGGGCATGATCTGGGTCAACACTGTTCAAAACTGTTATGTTGTTACATGCCATCGAATTGGAATTGACTCATATCTGACCCAGCAGTGGGTTTTTGGAGGTTATAAATCACATGGGAAGAGACAGCCCATTTTCCTCCCATGGGATAGCTGGTGGATTTGAACCACCTGCCTCTGGGTTGGCAGTGCAACTCCCTACCCTCCAGACCATCAAAGCTACTACTTGCTATTTCCTGGTACCATTAATCAATATAAGTGTCCTCACAAAAGGTCCTTTATGAATCAAAATTAGCTACAAGGACTTTCTCTGCCCTATTTTCATAATAGCTATAAAAATAAAAACCATCCTAAAAATTCAATGGTAGAGGAAGGGTAACATAAATTTGATATTCACTATGCATGCAATATTCTGGGGAAACTCTGAATATGTACTGTTAAATAAAATACTTTCTATTTTAGAAATAGATATACATCTTCTCCCTACCCTCTATCTCTCCTTTGAAGAGATTTATCAAAAGGGTGCTTTTGAAGTGGTGGGATTGCAATTCTCTCTCTCTCTCTCTCTCTCTCTCACACACACACACACACACACACACACACACAGGTAAGAAAACAACCACGTTCCTTGCATTCTGCCATAATTGCTCTCTTTGTCTGTTCCTCCTCACTTTGTCATTCACTTTCTCCTGGACAGTTCTTCTGAGACAGACTGAATCACCTGGCGTGGGGTCATTAAAAGGCCCTTAAAAAGTAGGAAGTACAGATGCTCTGCCGAGGAAGGAGGGGCAATCTCCTCCTGTACCAGTGAGATCTGATTTGACGGTACACACACACAAAATAAAAAAAATTTAAAAAAAAAAAAGTAGGAAGTAGAGCACAGATCACACACTTAGTAGGTGGAAGCATATACTTTGGCCCATATGAAGGTCACCAGACTTCCACTCAGCCACAGACAGTGAGTGTACAGCTGTAACTTGCAGGTACATAAGAAGAGCCTCCCCTTGCCTTTTCTTACTACATCTCTCCATGTGGTCCATGGAGAGGAGGCGGTGACTCGTTAAAGCTGGCAGAGATGAAACTCATCATGCTCAGGAAACAGACAAGATTATAAACAGGTCATCTGGGTATTCCTGGATTAGAACTCTCCTCACATGGAAATCAAAATAGTACAAAGAGAATGACTAAAAGGGGGAAAAAACCAAAAACCCACCAACCCCAACACCAAAGCTTATAATGGAAAATTGTTTTTGTGGCAGAGTCTGTGGAGTTTATTATTCAACATGGCTTTCCTAGCTACTGAACTTGAATGTGCCATGTTGATGGAATGGAACATGCAAATAGGGTGTGTTAGCCTATCCACAAAGGTACTGGCTATCTCACCAATTTACAAGGGGATTGACTAGTCTTGCCATTAAATTTAATGGATCCAGCTGCAGAGAGGATCTCTCTCACCACCAGAGAGAGAAAAGTGGGATGCAGTGAACACCCTTCAGGACCAGACCTTCTTGCACCAACTAGACTTACAATAGCAGCAGCAGCAGCCATGGGCGAAGCACAGAATCAGAGAGCTTATATGAGCTATCCCCCATAAACAGAACCAAAGCTAAGCTATGAGCCTTTGGCCAAATCTGTTGGACAACTGGGGTAGGGGCTGGAGGAGAGTCAATACTGGCAGGACTGGTGAGGCTCAAGGCTGAGGTGCCTTGTGAGAACATTTTAGATGTTGTCCTGACTGGATTCTACTACTAACCTGGATTATAATCTTTTAAGTTCCCCAGTATGGTTCTGTGTGGTCTGTGAGCTATTGTGTTGAATTTTGGACCTAATAAAACAGTATGATCGGTGTTGAGATGAACAGAGAGATGTGGGAGCATGAGGGACATGCCTGACCTCATGGGAACTGACCTTGTGCTACTGACACTATTGACAGGGACAGTTCCCCTTTGTGAATTTGGCAAATATGCCTGTCGCCTCGTAGCGCTTTTCTTTTTACAGAGAGGAACGTCATGCTTGGGAGGGTGGAGGGACAGTGCAAGAGAGGAAGACCCTCAATGGGATGGACTGATTCAGTGACTGGGGTAATAAGGGTAGGTATGTCAGAGACAATAAGGTTGGCACAGGATACAGAAGGGTTCAGCATGTTGCACATAGGGTCACTATTAGTCGCAGCAACTTGATGGCACAAAACAACAACAACATTGTACATAAGGACCAAACCTGAGTCCTCTAATTGTAATATTACCTCTCTGATTATGAGGATCAAAGACATAATGAATTTAAAACAACATAATGTTCAAGACATAGTTAATCCAAACACACTGGTTCATCTCCCTTTTCTCCTAAATGAGTAGTGTTTCTTCCCTGGTTGCATGTTAATGTCACCATCACTGACAGAACTTTCTAGAAGTTGTGATGTATGGATCTTAAAAACAAATCCAGAATCCTTGCATCTGTTAGATTTGAAAAATTTCCTGTGCAATTAACTATAAAATGCTGTCAGAGCTGAGAATCCTTCCACTAGCTCATCTCTGAGATCACTTTAAATTCTAAGAATTTGCCTAAATTGGCTTACTTAAAGCAGTGATTTCTAATCTTTGTTTTCCATATTATTTTAAGGAGTAACCATAAGCTCCCTTTTATATGATTTACTGTGAACTTACAAAAAAATTCTTTAACATATCCAAGTGGTTCCATTATTAAGTAGAATAGTTCTAAGGTAAAGAATTATTAATGATCATTACTAATACCTAGAAAAGTTAATATTTTTATGACATAAAATGAGAACTTATACTCCCTCCAAGTCAATCAATGGGTAACAACTCTTTTAGCAAAGCAGCGTGAATTCCAAACCAAAGATGATGCAAAAGTCAAATCCACTTCAGAGAGCCGCAGGGAACCGAAGCATTGGGATGACAGAGAGCATTGATACCAGAGGGGAGAATAAAATAACGTCCTTGTTTACCTCCGGTGAACTCAGAAAGAAAGAGCCTTCAGATTCAAAGTGGTATGTTGTATAGATGCTGAGGATGAATGTGGTCGTTTGGGGTCAAGCTGCCAGGAAATGAGCGACTCCACGGCACCAAGGGAAGATGCTTATCATGAGACACATGGTGTCCAGGCATCACCACGACGTGATCGCTGAGCAGCAAGCCGCCGGTTGCTCTTCTGACTCCCCGTCTATTATCCTTTCACAGTACCGCTCCCGTGCTCCTCCTCTGCGGAGATCACAGACAGCGGAACCTGCAGACAAGGGACAGGCACACCTATTGTGTGCAATGTCTTTGTGTCCCTCATCACTTGATGAGAGCTCTGGCTGTGGGCAGATCCTGGAGGGTTTGTGTGTGTGCACAATTGTCACAAATACTTTCCCTGTGACTTCCTGGAGTCTGTGGTGAGCAGAACAGGGGAAGATTTCTTGTAACAGAATTGGCTCAGTGTGGCACTTTGTAATGACAATGGGGACACTGGCTTCTCTATCTTTTTTCCTGGTATGTTCTTTGTTATTGAGATCTTAGTTACTACCTAACAGCTGCATCCATCTAAAAAGGCACACATAACTATTATAAAGGTATTACAGCTACTTTATCATTCATTTATTTATTCAGCAAGTATTTATAAAAGCAAGCATGTTCAAATTCTGCCCTAAAATATCTAAGAATAGCAGACAAGTGAGATGGCCTTCTTATACTCAAGGGAGCCTGAAGTGGTGGATCCTAAAACTCCTGGCCATTCAGTTGATTTCAACTCATGGCAATCACTCAGGCCAGGGCAGAACTACCCTATGGGTTTTCCACAGGCTGTAATATTTATGGAAGCAGACTGCCAGTAACTTTCTCCTGTGCAGCAGGTGGGGGGCTGGCAGATCTTTGGGTTAGTAGTCAAGTGATTAATCAAAGCACCACAAGGGCTCCTGATGCACTGGCTAGCAGTCATGAATATTCGTGAAGCATCTCTTCTAGACTAACAAGGTTTTGCTTTGCCTACACGATTTATTTTTATTTCAACCACAAATTTTGTTTTTTTTTCTGGTTTGACAGT